TGGTGACAGCAAAGCCACACTGGGGACTTGAACACCTTTTACCCAGCATGGTGACAATGAGGTTGTTTTAAACCTTGAGAATAATAATGACTTAAGTTGTTATTGTACCTTTTGAGTCAAAAGATACCTAAGTGATTTCCCCTTCCCACCAGGTTAAATGCAGAAAGATGAAGGGTTTGGGGATGCAGAGTGAACAGCCCCCCATGAATGAGCTGACAGCAATGAGCTCCCACATGGAGTCACACAGATTGGACACGAGGGAAGCAGCTCTGGGGTGCACTCAGAGGTAATCACCAGCGTTTACTGAAAGAGAAGGCAGAATTTGGCAGACAGACCTCCAGGACAAATCCATTCCAAATTGGCACCATTTAAACCCCTTGCGTGAACACCACTCCGAGCTTAATCTTCACCCCCAGCGTGGAGCCTCATTCTGCACCTTTCTCCCAGCCTGAAACTCCAGGGCCTGCTGCTGTTCTGGGAGAGCAACAGGAAGGAGTTGATGGCTGAGTAAAGTAGCAGGGCCATTAGTGGCGAGGCAGGCAACGTCCCCATGTCCTGCCATCCCCACTGCGCCATCACTCCAGTGGCTCTCAATTCATAGGAATAAAACAAAGAAAGAAGGAAAGGACCAATTTAACACAGCAGCAAATAGGTTTTTTCTAGGCATTCAACCATTTTGTCAGTAGGAAACAGTTGTCTCCACAGACGTCAAGCAGTTAATCACCTATGAAACCCCAAGAAGAAAAAAGGTGGTTTAATGAGGGCAGGCTGAGGTGCAAAGCTTGCCAAAGAAGGAAGCAACTGCAGCTCACTTTAAGAATGGATGACCTTGGAATCCAAGCCCTTGGGATGCCTGCAAATACAGAGGAGATCAAGGACTGATCCAGTGCAGAGGGAGCTCTGCTTCTTTTCTGCACACGGATGTCACTAGAGAGGATTCACACACCATGGACAAGTTCCCTGAAATACTGAATTTGGGCTAAAGGTCAGCACCTAACTTTACAGAGGTTGTGCGAATCACAGCCTGCAGAGCCAGAATTTCAGCCCTGCCATATGCCACCTACATAACCCCCTGCCAGTTTCCAATGGCCTCTGTGCTTCTATTTCCTCATCTGTAAAATACCTATAACATTGCTGTGAATTTAAATGAGTTGATTTAAGAAAAAAACTTAAAAACATAACTGACATACAGTAAGTACTCAGAAATGTTACTTATATTTGGATGATCAAATGTCAATTTTTGAGGACAGAATGTTGGAGATTCAGTATGAGACCAAGTGGTGCAACAGAAGTACACATTGGTTATTTACATATACAAAAAGTTTACAACAAGCTTTGTTTTTTTTTTACTTTTAGATCCAAATTTCTTACCCAGCTCATTTAGATCTCTGAAGGTATTAATCATAAAAAGTTATTAAAATATTTATACATGCATTTTTACAAGTGAATATAATATCTTTTTATTATATACCAGAAAAACCTATATTAATCAGTGAAGACACCCAATTCAATTTTTGTCACTATTCAGGATATAAATCCTTAAAAATAAGTGATAAAATGGCTTTTGTTTTATTGTCAATAGTGAATTTGCTCTGATAATTTTTTTAATTACCTACCTGGATTTTTGACACTTGCATAGAAAGTTTTAAGGTATTCAGTACATTGAAGAAATCAAGCAAATAGTTACCAATGGAATAAATTACTTTATGATACCTGGATTTGGTCTTTGGTAATTTAAATTCAAGTTTAAAAATTAACATTAAATAGAATACACCCAGATTCTTAGATGATCAGTCTAATTATTCTGTGTCTAAGTGTTCTGGTTAAGCTAAACAAAGATCAGTGTGCTAGAAAAATTATAGGAGAAATAAAAAAATGAGTGACCTCCTATAATTTGATTATTAAAATTAGAAAATTGATTTTTTACATAAACTCAAGATGACAATATCTTGTTCCTTTCCTCTTCTTAGAATCAGTGAAGAAATAAATATGTACCAGATGCCCCCCGTGGCCAAGGTTCTGTGACTGGAACTGTGGAATCTCTAGAGGTTTATCAGTTACTGTCCCAAAATGGGTCCTCATCTACTGAGTGGTAGGGGAAATGGGATGTAGTCCTTTTATGACTATGATTAGAGTAGTCTTTATTGAGTGAGTCTCTTATATATTTTACCTACATAACCCATAGGCTCAGGCTCTAGGCCCAACACAATACAAAGCCAGCCCCCACAGACCCAGGCTCCAGACCTACCTCAGACCCAGGATAGCACCCAGCCCCAGCTTTAGGCAGGCCTCTGTGAACCCAGGCTCCATGCCCACTCCAATGGCGAGCAAGCCCTCACAGCCCCAGGTATTAAAGTAGCACCCGTAGACCCAGGCTGCAGGCAAGCTTTTATAGACTGAAGCTCCAGCACTACACAAGCACCAGCCCAGTCCCCACAGCCCCAGGTTCAAGGCCAGACACAGACCTGGGCAAACACAAGGTCCAGGCCCACCCCAGTAGACCCCAGCATTGGACCAGATCCTGTGGACTCAGGTTTTTAGCCCACCCTCATGGACCTAGACTCTAGGCCAGCCCCCACATACCCAAGACCCAGACCTGAACTTGCAGACCTAGCATCAGACCCACACCTATGAACTCAGGTTCCAGGCCTGCCCCCATGGACTCGGGTGCCAGACCAGACCACCTAAGGACTCCAGCAGGAACCCCACCCGACTAGTGAAGGGCTTTCTCTGCTGAAGCCAGTCTGTAAAGAATGGAAGAGGTTTCTACGTCTTCAAATGTGCAAAGACCAATGCAAGGTCACATGGATCACAAATAATCATGGAAACATGACACTACCAAAGGAGGGAAAAAGGCACCAGTAACTGACCCTAAAAAAATGGAGAGCTACAAACTACCTGAAAAGAATTCAAAACCATCATTTTAAAGCTCAGTGAGCAATAAAGAGAATATAGATAGAAAACTAAATAAAATCAAGAAAACGATACATGAACAAAATGAGAACCTCAACAAAGAGATAGAAATATTTTTTAAAAACCAAACAAATTCTGGAGCTGACTGAACTGACTGAATTGAAAAAATTCATAGAGAACTTCAATAGCAGATTGACTTGATCAAGCAAGAGAAGGAATCAATAAACTCACAGACAAGTCATTATAAATTATCCACTCAGAGGAACAAAAAGAAAAAAGATTGCAAAAGAGTGAAGAAAGCCTACAGGACTTGTGGGACACAGTCAAGAGAATCAATTTTTATATTATGGGAGTCCCAGAAGGAGCAAAGAAAAACAAAGGGGAGGAAAGCTTACTTACAGAAATAAAGACAGAAAAATTCCTAAATCTATGGTAAGATATGGACATCCAAGGCCGGGCGCGGTGGCTCACGCCTGTAATCCTAGCACTCTGGGAGGCCGAGGTGGGTGGATCACTCAAGGTCAGGAGTTCGAGACCAGCCTGAGCAAGAGCAAGACCCCGTCTTTACTAAAAAATAGAAAGAAATCAGCTGGACAACTAAAAATATATACATAGAAAAAAAAATTAGCCGGGCATGGTGGTGCATGTCTGTAGTCCCAGCTACTCAGGAGGCTGAGGCAGAAGGATTCCTTGAGCCCAGGAGTTTGAGGTTGCTGTGAGCTAGGCTGACGCCACGGCACTCACTCTAGCCCGGGAAACAAAGCGAGAGTCTGTCTCAGAAAAAAAAAAAAAAAAGATATGGACATCCAGACCTATGAAGCCCAAAGGACCCCAAAGTGAATAAATATAAAGAGATCTTCACTGAGACAAATTGTAATCAAATTCTCATAAGACAAAGAGAATTTTGAAAGCAATGAAAGTGGCTTGTCACATATAAGAGAACCTCTATAAGACTTCTAGAAGATTTCTCAACAGAAATATTGCAGATCAGGAGAGAACGGGGTGTCATATTCAAAGTGCTGAAAGAAAAAAGAATTGGCATCAAAGAATACTATACCCAGCAAATCTGTCCTTCAAAAATGAAGGAAGATAAAGAGTTTCCCAGACAAATAAAAGCTGTGACAATGCATCACCACTAGACTTGTCTTACAAGAAATACTGATGGGAGTTCTTCAAGTAGAAATGAAAGAACACTAACAACATAAGAGCATATGAAAGTGTAAAACTCACTGAAAAGGTAAGAATATAGTTAAGTTCAGAATACTCTGATATTGTAATGGTGATACATAAATTACTGTTAACTCTAGAATAAAAGTTAAAAGAAAAAGTATTAAAAATTAGTATAGCTACAATAATTTGTTAATGAATACAACATAGCTAAAAGATGAAAATTGTGACATCAAATACATAAAATGTGGGAGGAGGAGAAGCTGAAGTGTGGAGTTTTTGTGTATGGTCAAAGTTAAATTGTTACCAGCTTAAAATAGACTGTTATAACTATATCATACTTCATGGAAGCCTCATGACAACCACAAAGAAAAAAAAACTGTAGTAGATACACAAAATATAAAGAGACCATTACAATATAAAAAGTATTTAGAGAGAGCACACTAGATATTTTAAATCAATATTCTTACTGGCTAAACTTGTAATAGAAATAGAAATCAATTGAGCAAAAACTATATGCTAGTTTTGAGATAAGTAAATATGTAAGATATAGAGAACTGATTCAACCAAGAGGAGGATTGAGTATTCAACAAATATTGAAGGTTTAAGGCTGTCAGTAAGTAAAAAATATGGAAAAGTAAATTTGGCATGCTTGATCTTTGCAATGGAAAGAAATAAACATCAGAAGGGATCATTGGAGCAGTCATGGGTCTTTTGACACAAAATCATAGTAAACTTGCCCAATTCTTTTAGGAAAAAATAAGGCAATATGCAGAGCACAATCTTCTTATTGCAAAGAATCCAGGGTTGAGTTCTTTATCCAAGTTCAATGTCACATTTCCCTCATCCATTGGATAATACAATAAAAAATGGCACCAAAAGAAACCATTTAATAGTCCATTTTGTGCCGCCCATTATAGAAACCATGAGGTTATCTGTGTGACAGACACAGAGATGTGCTATCCAGATACTCCTTTCAAGGAGGAACTTGCTGCCTCCTGTTCAGTTCTTTCCTGGAGCTTTCAAGCCTCTTTGCAGGAAGTAACACCCTTCCTAGGGCAACCTGACTAAGCAAGGTGGGGGTACAAAGGCCCACCTATGTCAGCCCATTGCAGGACACTCAGGTGGGATGCTTGAACCAGAGTTCCTCACCGAGTTGGCCAAGGTATATTTGGGCTAGCATTGCAGTCTGACTGCTTCCTTTTGCCCCATCTTTCTTCCTCTCTTTTCCTTTTACCCTAACAAATATCTTACACCCCAAGCTCCTTCTCAGCATCTTCTTTAGAGAACCCAACCTGTAACATTTAGATTTAGAAGAACCTCAGAGGTTTAGTCAGACCTTCCACTCAACCACAACAGTTCATGGTACCTCAAAGCAGCATCAACACAGTTTGACGTGATGGAAAGGGTGCTGACTTTGCAAGCTACACATTCCTGCTCTCTAATCCCACCTCTTACCTTTAATAGGCAATTTGAACTTGGACAAAGTACATAAACCCTGTAAACCCTGACTTCTTATCTATTAAATGAGCATAATATTTACTGCAAATAATGGTTGTGAAGAATTCATTTTAAATATTGTTTATAAAATGCTTTGCGTGGCACCTGGCTCATAGCAGAGGTGCAGTAATTGTCAGCCCCATTCCCTTCCAATACTAGAAAATAAAGAAAAAAAGAAAAAATACTGAATAATTTACAAACATAAATCTACTTCGGAAAAAGAAAACCTGGGAAAGTTTGGAGATTTTGATAAAAGTTGGGTTTCTTTGTTGATATGTTCATGTTATGTTGATAATACAATGAAAAAATTTTTTGGATGGTAAGTTTATAAACCTAGTTAATAAAATAGCCAGAGGCAGCAGAAAAACAGTGGAGTAGGGGGCACAGGAGGTAGGGGGAAGATCTGAAAGTAACTCCTAAAGCAGTTGTGCCAAGAATCTTGGCCTCTCTCCCACACATATATTGGATCTACTGACTCTCCTTCGTATTTGAATCTTACAATAAGGAATCTCTAGAATACTGCTAGTCTGAAATGGGCTATACCCATAACTGAGTAGTAAGCATAGCTGCAGAAAAGGATTGTGGTAGGTTATAAGAGGAAGCAAATTCAAGGAGGGGACTTGGTAACTCTGGGAAAGTATAATAAAAAAAATTGGTTATGAAATTCAGCATCAAGTTTTCCTACATCGAATAGTGTCTTCTATGCAGCTCTCTATGTACATGACATCAGTGCACATAAGCTTTGCCAACTGGATGAAAACTATCAGGCAGAGTCACTAGCTTTCAAAGTGCAGGACTTGGTTCAACTTGGAAGGCGCAGTGTCTGCTGCGTCTTCAGGTCTCCAGGCACCTTGGAAGCTGTTCGTGGCACAGAGGAAAGTGTAGGAGCATTTCAGTTTTTATCCCTAGTACAAAATGTTATTGCAGCCCCACGGCTCCTAAGGAACGAAGCTAATGTCAAAGATTTAAAGCCTTCTCACATTAGTGATGTCAGCACAAAATGGCCATCCTCTCTGAATAATTTATCTTCCTACTGCATAATTTTCTTATCCTTTTTTCTACATTTTGGCTTTTTACTGTAGATGAGGAGGTAAATGGCTGTTAGTCTCCGACAAAACCTGTGGAGCATCCTTCCCATCAATCAATTAAAAAACACTTACCTTACATTCAACATGATTTATTTCTTGTTAATACAATTGTCTCACTATATCCTTCTATTATTATACCCTTAATTCCATTAGCCATTCACTTAATGCTTGCTTTAAAGCTGACCCCCAAAAGAGCTTGAAAGAGAGAGGGAAGTCCGTCTAATCGTGGCATTGCCAATAAAATTCTGGAAGCTCTTTTCCTAAAGCCTTGTAGGTCACGGAAAAGATAGGTCACAGAATGTATCCTGCCCGAGAAGCATAGAGCAATCTCTCATTTATTTGCTCTGATGGATATAGCTTGATGGTTTAAAAATCCTTAAGAGCTCTTATCTTAAAAGTCAACACGATAGGTTCACCAAGTGGAATCCTACACATTGCATGGGGATGGATGAGACTTCTCCAAGTTTTCCTTAAATAAATTTAAAAAGAGAAACAAAGAGAAAACCATTTGTATTATTTGAAGATTAATGGCTCGCTTGTTTTGGGGTGGAGCAAAAGGTTAACCTCTTAAACAGTTAAGTGACACAAAGAAATTGTAGTATTATTTCTCGTAGTGGTGGAGTTACATGTTCTCTAGCAAATTTCCTCCATTTGGGTTGAAGTCTAAAAGCTATAAAAAGAAACCCTTATACTGTACTTTTAAAATTATACGTTGTACGGCTGTTACGATTTTTCTGTGAGAACATATGCTTTATTAAATTTAATTATATGAATGTCTTCATACAATATATAAGCACATATATTTTTATATCAATGCACATTGGATTAGGTCATATGTAGCAGACTACATATGCCTTGCTTAATTGCCATTTCTCTCTGCTTTTTGGCTAATAGAAACCCGATTTTATTCAGGTGTCTACCCTGCAAAGATGGGGATTTCATCCACAGCCTAAGGGAAAATCTGACCAGTAAAATAAGTTCTAGAAATTTGATAGCCCTTGTTGGTCATTAATGTTAGGGCAGGCTTCTGGGATAAGTTTCTTCATTTCTAAAAATAATTATAAAACATGGACATGTTCATGATGACTTATGATGCCTGGGGTCTTGATCGTGGTCTTGTGACCTTGGAGGAAATAGCTAAGGACAAAGCCAACATCCTAGGGATGACAGAATAGAAAGACAGATGGTATCTCTTTCTTTGATAACAATTTATCCCTGGAATTAATCAAACTGGCACAATCCTACTTCAGTGCTTTGTCACCCATTTCCCTCTTGCACATTGAAACAGCATACGGTGGAATAATTGTGTATTTTGAAGTTGAATTTCCAAGTTTAAGTTCTATATTTCTTACTAGCAGTATTACCCTTGGTAATATACATGAAGATTTTGAGCCTCAGTTTACTCATTTGTAAAAAAAATATAACATTAGCCTTTCTCATAGAAAAGTTCTGAAGATAAAATAACATTTGTAAAAAGCATTTTGTATATTTCTATAAGTGTCTCTTCCTATAAGGGCACTAATCCCATTGTGAGGGCCCCATCCTCGTGACCTCACCCAAACCTAACTACCTCCAAAGGCCCCGTCCCCAAATACTGCCACATCAGGGGTAAGGGACTCAACATATAAAGTTCAGGGTCTGAGGGAACAGAATCAGTCTATAGTAGGCACCAAAGTGGAAAACAGTACGACAGAATGCAATGCCTATTTTTGTTTTGTCTTATTAGCTCTCTCATTCTTTGTTTTCACCAAATTCCCATAATTATATTCCTCAAAAGATAAGATGAAATTCAGAAACAGCCATGTTAGTTGAAGGTACAAAATAAACCCCATTGTGATGATCTTGAATGTTGAGAACCATCACATGGTTAATAAGAGATAAACTCTACACAAGCTTCTCTTTTCAACTCTGTTCGTATAACCACCTACGGGCTTTTATTAAGTCTTTCTAGCAGCTTAAAAGAACAGCAATGTGGGGAAAAAAATTGTGTTTTGTATAGTCTGCCCCACAAGCTTTAAAGTTACAGAAATTCTATTCACAGTGGGGGACTCTGAAAGCCTTTTCAGAGGTATGTTTGTGCTGCCCTTCCAAAGAGAAAAAGTAAGACTCCTAGCCTGGTGGTTCCTCTCCTCACTCTGAGAGATGAAAGACACTTCCTTTGTCTCTGATTATAACATTTAAACCTAGAGGGCTGGCCACGGAATTCTATGCATCATTTAGAACTTTGATCCTAAGCTAAATTCACAGAAAAAAAAAATGCTTCTGTCAGTCTGGAGTTGCTGGTGACAAGGAAGAATACTGATTAGGGGTGGTAACAGAGTTCTGGTTCAGCTCCTCCTCCTGGAAGGCTCCACCCCAGTCTTTCTAAATTTCAGTTACCTTCTGTGCTGCTAAAGATTCTGGCCAAATAAAAGAATGATTTTTCTAAAACCAAATCTAAAGTGTGAGTAGATGATAGTTTGTAGTGTTTACACATTGTCCTTTGACATTTTGAATTTCTAACAGGAGCTTTCTCTCTGGTTGTCTAGTGGTGTTTGAAGCAAGGAGATGAGCAGTGATGTTCAATCTGTTCTTGGTGATATCACAGACCGAGTTTGATTGTTACATTGCATGATCCACATTGAGTATTACTTTAAATGTTCTGGATTTTGCAATCATTTAATGTCTCATCCAGGTAAACTTAAACTAGCCTTCTTAGATTCAAATCCTGGCTCTCCTTTATTTGTTCAACGGGTCAACCTCACTGTGTCTCAGTTTGCTCAGCTGTAGAATGGGGCTAAAACAGAACCCACTTCATAGGGTTGCTGTGACAACTAAGCACTTAGACCAATGCCTACCTACCTCATAGTAAACCCTGGGTAAGCTTTAGCTATTATTATTATTCATCATACTAAGCATACCCAATGTCTCCTTTAGTAGCATCTCAATGCACTAGTGGTACCTAGATTTTTTAAAAAAAGAAAGAATTATGGAATTCAGCACAATTTATTGAATTCCTGTTTCCATCGTCCTAATATATTTTGATAACTTGTACATGTTCAAAAAAATTTTAGTGAAAACCCAATTTACACAGTTAATTTATATATTCAACACCTGATTTTCTACTGGCAAATACAGTCCAAAAAACAATTTTAGTTGTTTTTGTATGTACCACCTGGCATAGACAATATGTATGTATGTATTTATAAAAGTACAATAAAATAAAATCACCCATAATCACATCCCTAATCTTCCCTTCAATTCTAAAGTCTGAGTAACCCCTTTAAAAAGTTTGGTGTCAGATCTTATGAAATGTTTCCATACAGACATAGCTAGACACACACACACCATATGGAGAGAGATACATATATTATCTATGCATATGTTTACAATAGGGGACTATGCTGTACACACTAGTTTGCAACTTTTGAAAGTCATACTGTAATAAATCCACCTACACTAATGTCTTTGCACACTTCTATTATTTCTATAGGAATTGCTAGGTCAAGCACATATTTTTTAATATCAGATTTTCACTATAATTTTTAGTATCAGTCTCACATGACAGGAATGAAATACTGACCTGGAGCATGTGGTTGGCCATCTCTTCTCTAAAAAGGAAGAAATAAATCCCTTCATGCTTTGCACACTGACATGCATTTTCCTGGGAGGGAAAAAGAAAATGCTGCCTTCCTTTGCCCTATTTTCCATTAAGACTTAAAGCTTGGACCAAGGCAACAACAACTTTTTCTTTGGAAGATAAAAACCACATGATAAAGCAAATCAATGAGTGCATGCAAGAGTGGCAATGAAAATGGTAGTTTGGGCTGAGAAAGAACGGTTATTGATGAGCTGCAGGGAGAGCAGCAGTTTGGTCTTTCTGCTCACCTGGTTGTGAAGACAGCCAAGTTGTGAGGTTAAATTGAAGTTGGTAAATACACAATTATTCAGCTTGTGTCTCGGTAATAAATGTGTCTCTAGGCAGTGAACCTGCCAGTCCTCAGAGTACCACTTTGCTGATTAAGGAGATAAAAAGAGGATATTGTGGACAGGGTCATTTCAAGAGTAATGAATCCTTATTCTGTCACTGTACTTTGCCGACAGGGAGAAGTTTAACGGGGATGAGGCATCCTGGAACATCCAGGTGGCAACATGGCGTAGGGCAAATCAGAGATGACTATTTCTAGGCCATGAAACACCAGCAGGATCTATGATGGCTGAGAAATGACAATATTGGTGAATTAAGTACATCTCAGGGAGAAGCCTTATTAAATTAGCCTAATACCTTATTGCATGATCAATAACAATGTACTTATTTTGTACTATGGCCTTGAGTGACTTTTCATTAGGAATTTAAATGACCTTAGAAAGCTACTGAGTATCAATTTAGAATCCTTTCAGGAGATATTAGCCTGGCCTCAGAGCAAAAAATGAGTGAAAATGCAGCTCATTATTTAAGTCAGAAAGAGAATGTCAAAAAACATTTTGCCTTGGCATGGAGGGAGATAGTTCAAGGTATGTATCCAGCCAAAGGAGACTGCTTTGGTTTTTGGATTCCCAGCTACAGAATGAAATAGATCGAGAAAGTGTTTGTAGTCCCAACTGATATTAACCCAGATAACTACTGAGATACAGAAGGTTGTGAGATTGGAAATGACGGACCTATTGCTTCAAAGTAAACGCATCAGTGCATTGCGGTATTCTGCCCCTGCTCACCCACACTCCCTTAGATTCCTTTACCATTTCCACGCTCACAGGTTCTAGGTGGGTTTTCTCTCCCAACAGCCAGCACCTGCTGCCTTCAAACCGCCAGAAGAAATATTTCGGGCAACCCTAAGTGCACATATTGACAGTACCCTCGAACCAAGGACTAACACGTAGACCAGGGTTTCTCGACCTCAGCACTATTGACATTTTGGGCCAGATAATCATTTACGGGGGCAGGGAGGGGTGTTGTCCAGTGCACTGTAGGATCTGCAGGATGTTTAGCAGCATCCTTGGCTTCTCCCCACTGGGAATGCCACACTTCCTCCTGTGTGGCAACCAAAAACGTCTCCAGACTTTATCCAACATTCCCTGGAGGGAGAAGCGTCCCAGGTGCAACACCATGGGTGCAGAAGCAGAAGCACTGCAGCCCCTTGTTCCTGACGGGACTGTTTCGATGGGTGACCCATGCTGGCTGCACAGGCGCCCTGAGGGGCCACCCTCTCTAGGACTTGCCTTGCTCCTCTTGCTCGACCTCCTTCCTGTCACGGTCCACTGCCCAATCCCACTCATAGTTCTCCCTGGACACACTTCCTGGTGGTCACACAAATCCTAATCTCAGTATCTGCTTCTGAGTTCGCCAACCTGAGGCACACTCTGTAACAACCGAGATGCTAACTAGGGGGTCACAGAATTAGATGATACTATCTTAAATACCTCTGCTGCCCCTGTTACTGTCCTTCACCTTCTACCTTTGCTTGAAGTAAAGGGGAAACGTGTCAGTTCCTAATTGGTTTATTTAAAAAAGAAAAAAAGGGAAGAAATACTGTCAGTTCGGGTACTTTTTTTTTCTGGGAATTGACATCCTAATTCATTCATTCATTCATTCATTCTCTCTCTCTCAAAATCTCGCCTACAAGCATGTTTGTTCCCCCTCACCTGAGTGAGCACTCCTTTGTTTTCATCACTTCATCCCTTTAGAACATCAAGGTGAGTTTTCTCTGGCCTCTGTGGTCTCCCACCTACCATCCAGAACTTTCTTTTTCCCTTCACCCCAGCTTCCTTGGAGTGCTGGGGGCACTCTCTCTTTCTTGCCTCTTATCCTACCTACTTTTATTCGTAGAGCCTTATCTAATATTCACTAACTGTCCGTGTATGATGTTTTAAAAACTCCACTTATTATTTTTCATTTACTTTCTCCGACTAGGTTTCAATAAGGATAAGAGGAAGACAACAGAAGAAGCCTGAGAAACTCTGGATGAGCCCAAGCAGTTTGAGACGCCAAATTTATTCACACATGTTTTAGGAGGAGAAAATGAATCAGAAGCTAAACCAGTACTATGTCAATTTGTGACTGTCCTTAAGGAGGAAACAGCAGTGTGAACACATCTTTGCTCTTTCTGCAGCTTTTCTCTAAATCCCTGTTTACTACTCAAGACTTCAGAATGGTATCTTGAACCCCACTAATCTTGTGCCTTTTATTTCACAAGTAGCCTTGAGACACATCTCAAAATGAAGATAAAAATAAAAATGATCCCTTTCTGATGACCCTGCTAAGCCAAACGAATAAAATCAATAAAAATGCAATTAATTTGGATTCATTTGGACTGAAGAATCAAGAGACAAAATAAGGAAGCATATTTGCCAGAGTATGTGATGTAGCTTTTGGCCAGAAATCTTGCTTCCGAAAGCATCCACCTCAGATATAGCGGCAGTAATAAACTCCCTGTGTCTTATACGACCATAAATCCTTGTACCAACCAAGATTCCAATGGTCTCTTCTTTTCAACCCACACATAAAGCATTCCAGACACTAATTTAGAATATTAATTAAATCTCAGAAAATTGCACTGAGACTCAGCAGATACTGTTCCATAACCTGTATAACTATTTTTTTTAAAACTGGACTATCCACTTCAAAGAAATTCCTCTTAATGTGACCTTTTTAAAAGAAAATGTAATAAAATGCCTTCTTTCCGAAATAATGATGATGCATTTAGAGGAGCTAACTTAGATTAGAACAGCCGTCACAACTATATGTGACCAAATATAAATGGGAATTTTTAAAGTATTGTTTTGAAGGTAGCTAAAATAATGCACATTGATTTTTAAAGGTAAATGTATTATACTGTAGAACTACCAAAGATGTGTTAAAAGGACACAACACTGCTGAATATACTTTAGTGGGAGCACCAGCAGCTGGAAGTTGACTTCAAAGGGCTAAGAAGAGTAAGAAGAGAGTGTTAAAGGAGCAGGTGGACACAGCAACAGGTGGAGGTGGACCAGAAGGAAAGATGTAGAGCCCAAAAAAGAGAAAATTAAGAAGGGAGAGGGCAGTACAATATGGAGATGCCATACCAGAGGTATAGGTGGGAGGAATACAGACCACTAGAGTATCGTAAGTCAGAGGAAAACAGCAAGAAAAGAACGTAACCCCTCTACTTCCCCAGAGAAAACAGAAGCCATGTCAAAGGCATGACAGAGAAACTAAATTAGAAAGGTGAGCACAGAGATGGACAAAGGGGATTGAGGGGCAGCACTTGGAAGCATAACTCAGCTTTTAGCCATCCAGGGAACCTTATAGAATTCGCTCTCTCAGTTCCCAAAGGAAATAGATTTCTCTAAGCGTATCGAACCCAGTGGTCACAGAGATGGACACAGTACCCCCAAGAGAGACCAGAGACTGAGGGAGATCCTGGGACGTAACTACTGTTATGGAAAGAGTGCCTGTGTCCCCCCAAATCCGTTATGTTGAAACCCTGCCCCCTAATAAGATGATATTAGGAGATGGGGCCTTTGGGAGGTAACGAGGGTGAAATGAGATCATGAGGGAAGAGCCCTCATGCATGGGAGTGAGGTCCTCACCAGAGTCCTGAGAGAGCTTGCTTCCTCTCCCCACCACATGAGAACACAGAGAAAACACTGTTGTCTCTGAACCAGGAAGCAGGACCTCATCAGACACCAAATCTGCTAGCACCCTGATCTTGGACTTCCCAGCCTCCAGAACGACGAGAAAATTAATTTCTGTTGTTTAAGCCATTCATTCTATGGTATCTTGTTATAGCAGCCTGAGCTGCCTAAAACAATTATTATTAGAAACATAACCTGTGTTTTACTCCTGGGACAAAACTCAAATGGGACCCTGGACGCGATATACCACAATAACCCTGGCAAGAATCACTCTGATGCACAGACGCTGAACAGACTTCATTCCTTTAGTCAATAAGCATTTGCTGCACTCTTCTCTGTGGCAGTTGGGGCCACAGAGACGAGTGGGACAGGGACCCAGTCCTGGAAACCTTGAGCATCTAATTCCTGACATTGTAGATGTCAGTGGGAGTTCCTGGTAGAGTAGTTTGTTTCACTATAAGGGGCCTAAATGAAAGAGGTTACTTTGCACTTATTATTAGAACTTAAAATGGATCAGGCTTAAGATAAATCTCAAAAATACTTAGGTCCTCAGATTTGCAGTCACTTAAATGGAGCATAAATTCATATTTTATGAATAATAATTCTCAAGATTTTAGATTTTTATATAAGTAATAATGTTAACTATGTTCAATTTCAAAGTACTGTGCATTTTTATTCCACACTATATCTGAGTTCAGTTGATTTCTGGTGGCGGAATCGAGCCACCACTCCCTTACGAAAGGTAACTAACCACACCACGTGAGTTCATGAATAAGCCAGAAGGAAAGGTCACATAACCTAAACAAAAAATTCAAAAAGCTGTGGTGAGCAGATTTCACAGGGTAATGTATGGAATAGTTCTATCTTGTGAGGAAAAAAAATTAATAGTCTTAGCCCCTTATGTGTCATTATCCTTTTTTACAGTGTAGTTATCTCCCCAAAAGTGACTGTAAAACCATCCTGTGTAGCTCCATATTTATTCTACTTCATTTACTTCCATATCACATTCCTTCAGTTTACAAATAGCAAAATTATCTTCTGAAAGTCGTTGCACTGCCAGCTCCAGCTGGGAACTGGAAAAAAAAAAATACAATATACTTCCTGTCTCTCATATTATCTGCAGCTAGAGAACTGAGAACATCCGTTTGCATTTTTGCTGAGGATGCTTAAAGAGAGCTTTTGCTGCCACAGAGTTCCTGGCTCCAGCCTGCTGATGTACTCAAAGCCATATTTTATCAGGAGGATCGAGATGCAGGGAGAAGTGCCATCTTTCCGATTTTCATTCATTCAATACGCGGTCATTGAGTACAGTATTAAGCACTGTCCTGGGTGCACTGGGATACAACGATGTATGACACACAAGCCTTACTATTCCAAGGAGGGGGAAAGGCAAGAAACCAGATTGTACACGACGGGGACAGGAAAGTGTCTATTGCCATGGGAACACGAGGGAAAGACATTCTCTTTGGTATATTCACATAGCGTGGTCTTCTCATAGGAAATGATGTCCAAGTTGACATTTAAAGGACAAGGAAGAATCATTTAGGCACCTAGTAAAAGTACGTGAAGAGAATGTGTGGAGAGAATAGGAAATGAATAGTGTGTGGGAAGCAGAGGGTAGAACTCAGAAGTTCTGATAAAAAGCAGATCCTTGAAAATGGTGGATTAGTGGTGC